TTTGGGAAATTTTCATACTCATATTCCAAGAACTGGATTTTATACGAATTTTTAAAACTTAATCGGCGAAAATTGCAAAATTCGAAAAAATTGTCGATTATTTCAAAAATTTATTTCTCAAAAACTAAAAGTGATTTTTTAAAACGGCTTGTTGCATTAAAAAGAGGATACTTTAATTAATAATCGAAAGGGATAACAGCGACTGTTCTGTTAGTAATGAATGTGATGAGGAATTACAAGCGAAGAGAAGGAAACTAGACGAAACTGCAACAAGAGATTTTATATATCGTATTGGGATTATTACAATGAGGTTGGTAAAGACAAACCTGATATAAATAAAGTTGTATCAGGTATCAATGAATACAACTTTATAGTGTCCGGATAGCCGGATAAAAATTGCCGTATAGTTGCCGGATATCCGGTCCACCCCGTTCTTATCTCATTTGCTACTTACTTAGGAGTAACTTGCCTTCCACAATGAACAAATTCTCTTCATATATTGTCGTTCTTCTAGGTAGGGGGTCATGAATTCGTCGTTTAAGTTAAGTAGAGGTGGCTTGCGGCTGAAGCATTCATTACATATTCTTCAATCGAGCAGTTCTTCTATCTATGTAGTATCGTAAGTAGGTGTCATAACTTTTTAAATTTTTCTTCTGAGTTTCTGGGCCTTGTTGTTGTTAAGCATAGTTTCGTATAAGTGATCCATCGACTACTGCCATAAAAAGTTCATCTTGTTAAATAGCTATGGTTTAACCTAAATGCAGAATATGAATAACACCGTTAGTAATCTAAATACAATTTCAAATCAGTTCAGTTCAAACTCTTCAAATTTGTTCAAATCAACTTTCACTTTGATCTAAGGTTTCTAGATTGTTAGAACATAATGAACAACAGATAAGTTGATAATAACAAAGTCGAACCAACAGTAAAGTGATGTCTTCTCAAAAAGTTTTGAGGTTAATTAAGCTGCATACAAAGTACAATTTAAAAACATTTTTTAAATCGGTGATAATTATTAAGTTTTTTTTTGCTTGTAGATATTTATTTCAAACGTTTATCAACTCATACAACATCCACATGTTTAATTTAAAATAAAATTGCAATCATTCCAAGAAAACTCTCTTCCCTTTCATTTTCAAATCGATAATTGCCACAATCTTCGCACCACAACACAACGCATGTCTCTTCGTAGAGTTAGAGCGATACTTATTCTAGGACACGCTTTTTCTAACCACAATAAGAGTGACGAAGAATATTTCTTCAGCGTGAATAGGCCCATTGTCCAGTGTTGTTGGTATTAAATTAAACCAATTGGTTTTTACTCGCTGCGGGTTCACAATACGCTTACGAGTGAAGGATAATTATACTTCTCAATCAATTAAAATTAATAATAAGACGAAAATAAACTATTTTGAGACACGCGCCTTCTTAGCTGTTAAAATAAAACCGCGGAATGTAATATTTGTTAAATAGATACACTCTCGGTGAGATCGAAGTGAGAGGCCGCCGTAAAGATAGTAACAACGGGTTCGAGACTCAACAATACGATTAGTTTAACAAATTGTTTGCGCGCTGCTATTTTAAGAAGTCCTATCGTTGACCCGATTAAACAAATACGGGCGGGTGCCCGTCCTCTCTCTGAAATTGTGTGTGGTTAAACGAGCACGTGCTAACACTGAAAATTGTACCGACACTGATCTAATTTGCAATAAACTCTTTTGTTTTTTCAATAACGTTTCATAATTGATTTCATTCATTTGTATTTATTGAATTGTTCTTAATTCTTAATGATTAGGTTTTTAATTGTTTTTGTTTTATTATTTTCAGGTGATTGGAACCGACGACGACGTTAAAGATGAACTGCAGCTGACCAGACGAGCCTCCGAGTCTCCGAATCCCCGCAATCCCTCCTCTGGCGTCCAAACGCTCGAGCTTCGAAGTCATCTCAAGCACACTTCCAGCATCCGATCTCACACCACCATCACACCCTTTCTATAATCTCTCGAGGTGCGATATATCCCAGATAATCCCCTATAGTTCGCGTCGCGTTACAAACCGCAAATAACCACTTCACGTTCCCGCCCCCTATGTCCCCAAAGGACTCGTCTAGTACTATTGTTATCGCTTCTTAGTTACCCTTCGAGTATATTTACCTTCAGGAAAATTTTCAGTTCGGGACGGGTCGTTTTCGTTATTTTATACATGAGATAGGCTTATCGCCAAGTGATATCACGGAACTTTGTGTGCCATCGGACGCGTTTCGCGACCAGAATAGAATATTTTTCTATTCAAAAGAAGCGAATCTTTTTGAAGTGTTGAATAGGGTGGCGATTTGAATTGCAAAAGGTAAGTTATTATTCTTCCCATTTATTTTTCAAATATTATAATTAATTTTATCCCTTCAATTCAGTTAAATTTACAAAACTTTATATATTTTAATACTCTTTCCCTTTTGAGTTTCTATGTAGAAATTTGAATAGCACAACACGGAGTAGTGTTTGTATGTGTAAAGCTGACATACACGGGAGCTTGAGACTTGAGAGAGAACATGTTGAGCTTGTCACGATAATGAAATGCATATGGCCATTGTGTATTTATCTTGAATGGTTTAAGCTGCGGCGCCGTACAAGTGTTCGCGGCCGTTTAAAATTGCCCTTCGATGCGAATAGCCGCCGGCGCTTTATTATTCTTTGTCGTGCTTTGTTCAGAACGGTAAATGCGTTTGAATGTTTATCCCCGAAGAAAATCACACAAAACGATTCATCCATTCGTCGGTATCAGCCTTTAGTAGATATGTGTCTATTAGCGTAATTCGCTCTAAACCAGCCAATTTCAATTCAAATTATAGCAATATCCAATCGGTTCTGATTGATTGGGAAAGTGGCGTTTATATGGTTGAAGTTTCGAAAATTTCTACTTTGACCTAGTTGCTTTTAATGCTAATACGCGTCCCTTTACAGAGAGTGTGATTAATCCTTCGATTAATAGATATTTATTTTGTTTATTATAACTACAGTGTGTTAACCCTTTGTGTGAAAAGTGGTGTTGTTGAATTTTATTGTTCAAAAAGGTATCTCTTTGATAAATCGTTATTAGGTGTGATTATTACAGATCATTTTAAAAAGAATGCATTGAGCTTTAATTTAGAACAAGTCTCCTTCCTTAATTTCAATTTTTTCTTTTTGACATTTTTAGGTTATACGAAAATATAACTTTTATTTCAATATTTTTCCAATCCAACCCAACAATTATTACACATCATTTTCAAGAGAAAGCTTTGAGCTTTAATTTAGAACAAGTCTCATTCCTTAATTTCAATAAATACGGCTTTCAGGAATTTTTGAATTAGCATCTTTTTTGACACTTTTAGGTTATACGAAAATGTAAGTTTTGTTTCAACTTTTTTTTCTCAATATTTTTCCAATCCAACCCAACAATTATTATACATCATTTTAAAGAGAAAGCTTTGAGCTTTAATTTAGAATAAGTCTCATTCCTTAATTTCAATAAATACGGCTTCCAGGAATTTTTAAATTAGCATCTTTTTTGACATTTTTAGGTTATACGAAAATGTAAGTTTTGTTTCAACATTTTTATCTCAATATTTTTCCAATCCAACCCAACAATTATTACACATCATTTTAAAGAGAAAGCTTTGAGCTTTAATTTAAAATAAGTTTCATTTTTTAATTTCAATAAACACGGCTTCCAGAAATTTTTGAATTAGCATCTTTTTTGACACTTAGATTATGCGAAAATGTTAGTTTTTGCTCAATATGTTTTTTCTCGATATTCTATCAGATTTTCGTCGTTATGTAGCTACAGGCCTGATAAATAAATGTTCAAATTTACTGCGTCCACGAAAATGTCGTAGCGCAAGTTCAAAAGAAAGAGGAAGTTGTGNTTTTTTCTCAATATTCTATCAGATTTTCGTCGTTCTGTAGCTACAGGCCTGATAAATAAATATTCAAATTTACTGCGTCCACGAAAATGTCGTAGCGCAAGTTCAAAAGAAAGAGGAAGTTGTAAAAATTGTTTTGCCAAGGCTAGACCCCACTCAAAATGTACTGCGTGCAATGTTTATTTATGTTGTAATGAAAGAAAGAACTGTTTTTCTGAATATCATAATTTGATTTAGCTAAAGCAAGTGTTACTTATTTTCTAACGTTATAAAGAATGTATTATTTTTATATTAGCAATAAAAGGTTTTGTATACTGCAACATCACTAATATATATTTTAATGCTTGACGGTACTCTCAAGTACCATTATTCCCCTGGAATAGGGGGATTGCATATTTTGCTAACATTGATTCCAAAGGCCTTTACTAAGTGTATTTTGATAGCGTTTTAATTATGTCGCAAAGTTTCAAAATTTTTGTTTCATCATTGCAAGTATGCAACCAATATCACAGTATAGGTATTGCAATACGCGATTTACGTATGATGTGTATTGCACTGTCAAACTGGCACTGTTGGTTGCATACTTGCAATGATGGCGTCGGGTACGATAACTAATTAACACACTGTATTATATTATTTAATCCTTTTATATTTATTGCATACCAATTTATTCACAATACTCTATTGAAAAAAAGCAAGAATTAATAAGAATAAAATTAAGTTAGAGTTTTGATCAGAGGATTACTGAAAACAAATTTTTGCACTGTTATTGTCAAAAATTAATTATAGAGGTTAATTATGCAAACTAGTATTATAAAATCCCACTACGAATTAGATATCTAATAACATGGTTAAATTTGGCATTTTTCAATTCATATCATTATATCATCTTGAAACAAACATCTAGGATTTTGTTTAATTTGTGCCAAACTTGACATAAAAATTTCACACAGATTATTCAGACTTATTCAATATCTAGAAGAAAAGTTGAGCAGACAGAGGTGTCGGTTAATCTATGCACTTGGTCAATTGTTGAGTGCTTCAGACTGATTCCAAATTCATAACCTAGAACATATACCTTCTAGACAGATACTTTGGGATTTCTCCTATGTTGAGGTGGAATCCTGGACGATTCTTTGGATTCAGGTTAGTTCTTATCTCACTTGCTACTTACTTAGAAGTAACTGATATGATATTTTCTACTTTTTTATTTTCAATATTGGTCAATTCTTGATTGATTTGTCTTGGATCGGAAAATATCTTACAATCAGCTAGATGTTCAAAGGTAACTCTGTTTGCTTTTTCCTTATTGCCTCTGGACCATGGTGGTGTTGTTTTTAATATGAAAAACTGAGGTTACAGGTCTCTTAATCTTGGTCCACAATGAACAAATTCTCTTCATAGATTGTCGTTGTTATAGGTATGGGCTTATGAATTCGTCCTTTAAGTTAAATAGAAGTGGCTTAAGGCTAAAGTACTTCAATATGTGTTCCTCAATTGAATATCTTATATCTATATATAGATGTTGCAATATTTACTCTCCAATACAGTATCGATTATTATTCACCGTACTCTATTGAAAAAAAACAAGAAATAATAAGAATAAAATTAAGGTAGAGTTTTGATCAAAGGATTACTAAAAAAAAAGTTTTTTGCACTGTTACTGTCCATCTAAAAAACGAATTATAGAAGTTAATTATGCAAACGAGTAGTATAAAATCCCATTTAACAACATGGTTAACTTTGCCATTTTTTAATTCATATCATTACATCATCTTTAAACAAACATCTAAGGTAACAGTGATATGTGTCTGAATAATATAGAGAACCCTTTTCGGTTATTTATATCTCTTTAAATACATAAAATAAAGTTATTTAACTAACCTACCTCACTAATAGGCAAATTCATTGTTGCAACAATAATAGCTTGCTCAAATTGAAACCTCCTTCAATAATCTTTAGCATTGCAATATTAGGAAGATTAGGAGATTAGGAAGATTAGCTATCCTATTAAATAGAGAGAATCTGCATCATAAATCTTTTCTTGCTTGAAATTATAGTTTGTGTTATGCACAAAGCTTTATTTTGCAAATTTCTGCAAAAAATGTTTAGATTTGGGTCGAAATACGTTTTGTTTGAGTCTTTCCTGTTGTAACGTGGCCCTTTCTTTTTTGTCCCTTTTCCCGATGCTTCGTTTGATGTATGTATTCTTTTGTGCTATATTGAAGTAAAAAGTTTTTATTTGTATACTTCATATACGCATACTTCTTTGGACGGTATGCGTCAAAGTATCTTTTTGTATAAAGCTAGATATAAAACACACTTGTGCGCTTTTTTTTGCTATAACATCAATGTCTCTTTTATTCTAAAAGTTTTACTTATCACTGTTATTTTTTCCACATCCCAAGATTTAACTTTGACGGAAAGTTTCAATTTCAAGGTCTCAAGATGGAAGATAATTTTTATCGGTTTCCTTCTGCTGATTGTGCAGTGATTTGGGTTTTGTGCAGAAAGAACTTAATTAAGACAAATTAAAAAGTAAATATTGTTTTTTTATAAATAAATTTGTTTTTATTTTTATACAAACATCATTAAAAGTTTTTACATTAGAAAAGCTTGAAGAACCACAACTTTGGGTAACCTAGGATGAACAATTTTTTGACGTTGTGTTAAGTGAATACCTTTTGCTGTATCAAGGTAAAAATTGATACATTTGTGTTTGACCTCTTGGCATAGTAAAAAATAGTGGGATGAACAAATTCAAGTACAATTAAAAAATGCTAAAAAATTACGTCCTTTTGATATGACGTCAACGGCAGTTCTAACTTCATAATCTAAAAGTAATAAATAAGTTGGGCATACATTTTTAGTTTATCTAGATCTCATCCTACCCTTCTGAACACCGTGATCTTCAGCAAATTTATCGTAAAAATTCCTTTCCATAGTCAATATTAAAAAATATTATATAGTACAACTTATTATCAAATATTATAGCACTTGATGATGAAATAGTTGACATTGAGTACTATTACCATTAAGTACTAACTGGTGGTAGTAGCTGCTCGTGCCAAGTATTTTTGCTTTATCGAAATCTATTTTATATATCGTTCCGTGTGGCAATGTTCTGCGACTGCTGACTGCTTTGTTCCTCTTAATCTGATGTTCCTTTCGTGTTTCTTTATACGACATACCCTTTATAGACATTCGAAGGTCCATCCGGTTTACCCTACATAGTATTTCCCACACTTGTCCGACAGTAGATTCCTGACCCCTTTAACGGAAGAAGTTTGTCCTTTCCTATCAACAATGACGGGACGCATTTCACGTAGACTCCTTATCTCACCACGATATCGTTCTTTTTTAACCGCTTGGCTATTTATTCCGTTACACCTGAAATAAAGTGAAGACAGTTAAAATCCACAACAAGACCTGTAACTTCTCCTTG